AACCAAAATTGAGGCACCGCTGGCACTGCGTTACGTCACGATGGCCGCCACGGTATGGCTCCCATCGTACGATGATGGAGTAGATCGATCGGATGGCTTGCAGCGCATTGAGAGTCACCGTCCCTTTCTGGAAGTGCACCAGGAAGAGGCAATCCGGGTACGTCTTCACGTTTTCGTCTCTCCTTGTCATTCGGAATACAGCGATTGGGGCTAGCTTGTACCGGTTGATTTCAGCTTCGACCATCTTGGGGTCGAAATTTGGTAGACCCCTGATGACTACCTTGAAGGGCTTCTCACCGGGGATGTCGTGCGTGAAGAATTCCGCCTTGGAATCCTTCAGATATTTCACGGCCACTTCGTACTCCGCTTTTGTTCGCAGCATCACCTTGGTGCCGATCCTGCCGAGCTTAAACTCAGCGGCAACGCCCAGCGATGAGAGATCGCCAATCAGCGTGTTGAGTGGTACTTGCTTCACCACCAGTGGAGGAAGCTTGATTTTCACCGCACTCGGGCCGGCAGAATTCTCGGTTTCGACGGCGTCGCCGAAATCACCGATGTCGCTGGCGTTCGTCGCGGTAACATCGTCGTGTCCGCTCGTACCATCGGACTGTCCTTGATTCTTCTTCCTCTTTTTTGTCCGCTTCACCGAGACTGGGTTGGTATTTCCAACATCGGTGGGCAGAGTAGCGTACCTATTTGAGGTAGGTACCGAGCTACCCTCACCACTGTTCTTCTTCTCCGCTTGCTCACGAAGTCTGCTCCGAGAGCGCTGTCTTCCCATCACACGAAGCGACCGACACTACTGACGACGCGATTAAACTGCGAATGTTTGGAACAAACTAGAAACTTTAGAACAACTCGACAGAGCGAGCAAAGACCGAACTGTACTGCTTGACGTACAAGCATCAAATGCCCATGTCTTCAACAAGTTTAGGTAGCTCATATTTATACCATCCATGTTTTCCCTCATTTATGCTGCACTGCTTGCTGTGCCAGGATTTCCTTTCACATCTGTCATGCTTCACGCTAATTTAGCTCAGCTCAAATGAAGTGTTTCATTACTTGACATAACTCTCAAGTATTTTATTTATTTATTTTTTATTATTATTATTCCGCATCAACCTTATCTACCACAGAAGCCAACGATGTTGTTTTGGTGCCGAAGGAGGAACATCCGCCAAACTCGCCAGAACTTCACCTAATAGAAAAATTCTGGGCGATTATGAAGGGCAAGCTCCGGAAAACAGGGAAGGTTTTCGAAAACGGCAAGGATTTGAAGAAAGAGTGGATGAAAGTTTGTAAGAAAGATGGCGCATCTGTTGCACAGGATTTGATGGTAAGCGTTAAGTTCAAGGTGCGGGTATTTAGCCTAGGAGAGGAGGCTGAATAAACTAACTTTGCCAAAACATAGCTAATATGTATTTATTTATTCCCTGAGAGTTTCAAAAATATCCGACTTAAAATGAATTTTTGGTGATCATTTTTGTCGGTGGCATTTTTTTTTTCGAGAACAGTCTTTAGAAGAAATGATTTTTATCAGCACTGATCAGTTTAGCGAACTGTGTAACTTTGGGAGCTTCATTTCGCCAATATGTTCAGGAAAAGTCCTAGAAAAGGATCAGGATCATTCCGGAAGATTGAAGAAGTTGATGGATGTTATTGGACCGAATCAAAAATTATGGATTTAAAGAAGTTGAGACATTTTTTTTAAGGAAAGGAAACTTTGTAGATGATCACAGAACATTGCAAGAATTATAGGAAATTCGTACAAGTTCAGCAAGCTTGACAGAAATTCAGTTGTAGCCATTGAAAAATTAAAAGTTGTAAGCTATGGAAAAATCTTTGGAAATCAGGAGTTTGTAGAACATTTCCCATCTTCATAGAGGCTTTGAGTGCATGGAACTTAGTTTAAGTTCAAGAAACTTCTTGTAAGTACAGGAAACTTCGAACAAGTTCAGGAAGCGCCGTAGAATGTTAGATGACTGATTTTCGATGAATGAATTTCACATTATTCAACATTATTCAAGACTTTTCAAGTTCATCAAGACATGTTCTGAAACTGTTCAAAAAATTAAATGACGTCTTTCAGATATCCTTCCAAGACAGAAGTTTGATTAGAGAGTATTTAAAGTATATATAGCTGATCAGAGCTATAAAGACTTCTGGATATGTTTCAAGCCTTCATTCTTAAGATATTGAACTGTTCATAGTTTTCAAATGATGTTTACCGACAGTCTCTCAAGATTGCTGATTGATAGTGAATTCAGGTTGATCAAGAAGATCGGAATATCTTAAACAGGTCAAACATTCAACTGGCTCCCTCAAGATGGCAGGTCGATCAGGAAGTAGGGGAAATAGATGTAATGTCGGCACAGTCAGAAACTTGTGTAAAGATAAGTGGGAACATCGCTGTTACGTGGCGTTAGCATCTCCTGACTTCCTCTATAAATTTTCCACTTTAGACCAATTGGGTTCTTTAATTTTGAAAAATATATCGGTTGTTATATACCATCTGAAAGAGCTTCGTTTTCTGAGCACAGCGATATTTTTTTCAACCCCATGCACTTTCATCTCGATTTTTAAATCATGATTTAAAGCAAAATGATAACTTCACTGTTTGACACTGAACTGACAAACTGACAGCTCGCTCCCATACAAAGTGACACCGAGGGGCGCTAATTAGGTGATTTTTGCAAATGTAATCGTACTTATTTAAAATAGTTCCAGTGTGCCAAAATTGATGAAATTTTGGGTTTGGGTTCCATTTTTAATGCAGATTACGAATATGCATTTACCTCAATACCCTTAAAGAACCCAATTTGGCGTTAGTATCGATAAATTTTCTGTTGAACATTGCCACTTGGCGCTACCAGCACTTAGTGTCTAGTGTAAATTGTGCAATGTCAGCGCCATCAGGTTGTCAAAGAGGTTTTTTAAGTGGGGAAGTCGCCGTTAGTGGCGCTTAAGTCAAATAGGAATTTTTACACTAGTTTTTAGAGAAATTTTGTTCGAGCCTCAACGTCTGTTCTCTGTGATGTCGGCCTAAATGCCCCTAATTTGGGTCCATACATAAATTCAGCAATCGACTAAATTTACAATAGCGAGTTTTTTTTTTCAATAGTACCGTCCCAATGACGCGTTCATCTAGATAAAATTGATAAATAGCAGATGTTTAGCGATGGGCCCCATCTTAGATCACTAGGCAAACATTAGAGCCATTTCGCAAATTTAAAAGACCTTCAACTGATCGAAGATTTCAATAAAGTCCTCTGGATATTTTTCAAGGCTTCAGCACAGACAAACAGACATAACACTCACAAGTTGTTCATCGAACAAGCATTTAACGGTAATTTTAAAAGTATCGTAGTCAACGGCGCCGGTGGTGTAGTGGTAAGCGTGATTACCTCTCACCCCAGCAGGCCTGGGTTCAATACCAGTTGGCGCCGCCGGGATGTTCTGAGGCATAACATCTCTGATCACGCCTTCCTTCGGATGGGAAGTAAAGCCGTTGGTCCCCGGTTCATGAGTGTGTGGGGGCTGCCTTCCTGGCACGTCGGTAGCATTGGTGCTCAGCACGGAAAACAAGATCGACGAAAAAAACAAACCAAAGGAAAAAAAAAAAAAAAAGTATCGTAGTTGGACATAGTCAATTCCCTTACGTTTGACGTTTACACACTACCGCCATCTGTTCTGCGTACTACCCACCATAGTGAACTCAACAGATGGCGGTAATGTTTTAGCGACGATGTTTTACACTGATAAACATTTAATGTGTTATGTCTGTTTGTCTGTGGCTTCAGGTTGATTAAGTATTATTGTGAAGATTTTCTTCCAAAATGGCACGTTGATCAAGAAGTATTTAAAAGTTCACCTGAGAATTGAATTGAAAATTGGCCACATCCGAACATGTTCCGGGGACCCCCGCGGAAGTGGCAGGTTTCTGACTTTGGGTCAAAACCCATCATACAGGAATTCTAATACAAGTCTAGTGGTAGTCATATCGAGTGCACCGTTAAATATTGGCCCCTTGCGGACATGCTACGAGTGCCCCCGGGAAAGTGACCAATTTCTGACATGTAACCAAACCCATCGACACATTAAATTACACGACAATTAATTGAGTTGAGGGTATCCACATTGTTCTACACCGAACTACGTATAATTCAGAAGTTATCATACTCAAGGGCGTAGCCAAGTTTCGAGCTAGGGAGGGGCGGAAAAACAAAATTTACTATGGAAAATTTGGCCGAATGCCATTTCACGGAACGCCATTTCACCGAAAGCCTTTGTGTTGCTGAGTTTAGGGAGCGGCAGCTACCCCCCCCCCTCCCTCTGGCTACGCCTATGATCATACTTATAGACTTGAAAATTTGTCAATCCCCATCCGAATAACTACCACTCAATTCTTGTTGCTCCATTTCTCAATGCTCCAACATGCATCGGCCTCCAAAGTCTTTATTAAGAAACACTGACCAACTTTCCTACATATCCTTCTTCAACACAAACCACCCACCGCTCCATTTCACCGTAACGCGATCGTGCCGTAATATCACGCACGACCACTTGTTGTTACCCACTTACTACTGTCTGACTATTTAGGACTTTTCGGTTTCAAACGATCATTCCTATACACGCCAACCCCGACCAACCACTCTGCTCGGCTTCTTTACGACTCTCTGCTGCACCCAATTTCTCCCCTCATTCATTCACCACCAGTCGTCATTCACCACCGCCCGTGACACTCAACCAGAACAATAATAGTAGCGTTCAATAAAGAATGAACAACGTTTAACAGCCAAACAAAAAAAAAAGTCACTCATTCCGCTTAACTGCATGCTTTAGCTAAGTCGTGCTACCGAAAGTCATAAAGTCAGACGACGCAGAGCAGCAGTGGGCCGCCTCCGGTCGGTCGTTAGTCGTGCATCGGCACTTGTTCAGCGTGGTTGTGTTGTTTGTCTAGTCGTTCGATCGAGATCGGGCACCGCGCCATCTGGATTTGAAATTTCGAAGCTTATTAAGCCGAGGATCGCGCGCGCACCATATAGCTGAGGATGATCGCAAGTGAGTGCTTCAAAGTGCGCGTGTGACTTCCCGGAGCTCGGAAGTGGACTCGTCATTCGTCAGTTGTAGTTTGACCGTCGTGGGATTAAGTCGTCCAAGTCCAGTTCAGTGTGTGGTCAAGTGGTTTGTTTTGTGTGTGTGTATGTTTTTTTTTTCTGTGTGGAGTGAAAAGATCCGAGATAAGAAGGAAGGATTAACACGAAAATTAAAGAAACCAACGACGGGATCGACTTTGGAAAGGTCGATCCGCTGCGAAAAGGATTAAGTTACACATTGAAGTGCGGTAGAAGGGGGGAATTCGATCGAAGATTTTGTGGTTTCCAGCGGTGGTGATCCGGGTAGCGGAAGTATGAAGAATTTTGGAAGGCATCATCAGCGGTGTCCAAGTTCCCAACGGCTGGGGCCTTCGAGGCGGTGAGAAAAGATTCTGCGGTGTGTGTGGTGGTCAACTGAGACAGGTGAAACGTGATCTGCATCAGGTCGTCCGCATAGAAAGCAACAGTGAAAGAAGTGTGTAATTTGAAACAGGTGAAATGATGATCGTCTGAAGTTGAGAGGAGTTGCTGGAGAATCTTGTTCTGAAAGTGCGTTTGGGCATTCGAAATGCATCGGATTTTGTGCGGTCCCAAGGCGGGATTGTGTGTCACGGTAGTGCTACTGATTGTGTTGACTGTCGTGGTGGGAGTGCGGGCCCTGACCGAGGTCGAACTGGAGGACGACTATCTCGTCGCAACCAAGGAATTCGAGCAGCAGTGTATTCACCGTTGTCCGGACCAGGTTAGTTGGGTACACTTAGTATTAAAGCAAAAGTTTCGAACGGCCGGGTCCAACCGAGAGGTGATAACGGCGATAAGCGGAGCAGCGCAGACTCACGACTTGCTGGATGGATTCAGTCTCAGTCTCAGCCTGAGCAGATAAAGCTGAACTAAATATAATTATATTATAGAGATGATTAAGAAAAAAAAACACACACGGGGTTTGAAGACGGTACAAAAACATGAAAACAAACGGTTGAGGCAAATGCTTGCTGGCTGACTTCATTCGTAATCGCACGTCGTTGTCATGTAGAAAAAGGGAATGTTTGATAAGGATTTCAACTAAGTACTAAGGCTCGGCCGAGGGACACTGGCGATGGCGCTTCGGTCGGGTGCCTACAAGTTCATCGACAATGTTCTTTGGTTTGTTGGAACGAGAGAACGTCGAAATGCAGCAATGATCGATGAGCTCGGGGCTGAGAATTCTGAAATTTGTGATTGGAGTTCTGGGAAAATTGATGAATGCGAATCAATGCACTGAACAGGAGCGGGACAATATTGAACCTTGAAGTTCATTGGCCAGGAATTGATTTGACGACAATTGGACAAAAATGGTTCAGATTTCCATTAGTGGCACCTAATTTGTGGGTCACTTGTTATGATTTGTTTGGCAGAAACAGCCGATACGGAGGGGGATCTAACATGTTAAATCAGCGTTTCACAATATAAGGGCTGTCCTTAGAAGGGTCTCGGAAATTCAGAATTTTCATGCGTTTTAAAAACGGCCTTAACTTCCGACCAAAGTGTGAGAAAATATTTATAAAACTTGATAACAAACGGATTAACAGCACAGCTGGATTTCGCATCAGATTTCTTTAGTAAAAATAAAGGGTGTATGCCAAAAACCGAAAAATATCGAATTTTACTAAATTGGAACCTTTTTTGAAAACTTTTATGAACTCCGTCTTCCGATTTTCCGACTACTCAGCACAATCCGCACCTACCTCTCTCTGTTTCGAATTAATATGAACCCAAAAATGAAGTCATTTTACTATAGATGACTTCCAAATTTATTTATCTTTCTAAACGAACCGTTGAGTTCGATAGATTATAGACAAGAAAAATGTCACCAAGATAGTCTTATAACATGTAATAACTGCTCGGTCTGGCCAGCGTTTAACACTTTTTCCTGATTCCAAATTCGTTCTACGAGCTGCAATGCTGAGTTTGAAAAATTGTTTCAAACTTCTCGACAGTTCCAAAATTTCAAACTGTCAGAAATTAAACTGCAACACGATCAGCGCAACGTACAGTTTTAAAAGGTATGTGGTATTCATCCTTACATATGTGTGCGTGTTCAAAGTTTGATTGCTTCGGTGATTTTAGCACGAATCCGATCACCTGATGGCCTTTGGAATAATTTTCGGAGCAACCTGGTATCACAAGAGCATATCTTAGAGACGTGTTTTGTATAATTGATCAACATGAAGTATTGAAACAAATATCCAGAGAAGATTTTGGAGATCTCTGTTCACCTGAAGATCTTTGGAAAAAATTGATTTCCTGAGAGGATATCTGAGAGACAATATTTGCGCTGTTGGACAGTTTGGGATCTTCAGAATAGTACCTGATCAACCTGATGTCTTCAGAATAGTACCTGAACAGCCTGAAGTACTTTATGGAGATCTCGGATTACCTGAAGGGTTATGAAAAAATTTCTGAATTGCTTGGAGAATATGGAGAATATCTTAGGGGTGTGATTTGGATTGTTGATTATTTATGGAGATCTACAAATTTCGGAGCAACCTGGTATCGTGGGAGAATATCTGAGAGACATGATTTAAGTTGTTGGACAGTTGAAGATCTTCAGAATAATACTTGATCAACCTGAAGATTAGAAAAAAAAATACCATGAGATCTTGATCGCCCGATGGTCTTTGGAAAATATTCTGGTTCACCTGGTATCATGAGGGTTTGAAAGAATAGTACTTGATCAAACTGAAGTCTCGAAAAAGTATCTAGAGGACTTTGGAATACTTTCTGAGTTACCTGTTACCATATGAGATAATATCTGAGACATGTAATTTGAATTGTTGTAAGTTGGAAATTTTCAAAATGATCCTCCTAATCCAACCTGAAGTCTTGGAAAAGTAACTTGAAGTTATCATGGGGATCTCTGATCACCTGATGGTCTTCTGAATTATTTCTGAGCAACTTATCATGAGGAAACATCTAATACACGTGATTTGAATTGTTGCATAGTTGAAGATTTTTAGAATAATACCTGATCAATCTGAAGTCTTGAAAAAATGTCAAGAGGACTTCATGGAGATCTTAGAACACCTCAAGATCGTTGGAATAATTTCTGAGCAACCTGGTATCATATGAGAGAATATTTGTTGTATGCAATTCTGTGAAGATCCATGCACTTCCATGAAGTTCTATAATATACTATGATATTCCCAGAACGTCTGTGATTTTCCCCGATCTTTTATGAAATACCTCTCCCTTCTATGAAATTACCTGAACTTCAATTATTCTTGCTGAAACTTTTTTTAAATACAAGTTCCATAAAGTTTGGTGTTCACTATAAAGTTCTTCAATTTGTGTGTGAAGCTCTTCGTATCTTTACGATGTTCTCCGAACTTCTATGAAATATTTCCAATCTTTTCAGAAGTTCTCAAAACTTCTGTAAAATTACCAAATTTCTATTAAATTCTCTCAACTACTTTGAAGTTCTCTGAACATTTAAGATAACAATTGCCCAGTATTTGTCGATTGGTCGAAATTCCGGGCAATATACCACTCCAAAACCACCTTGGAGTAGTGGCAGCTGGCTAAATCGGACCAAAATATGACTTTTCCCCTATGCTTGTGGATGAACGGCAATACACGCTTTTTCAGGCAATCATCGAGGATGTGACAAATTGTTCCGTTTTCAGTCCATAACTGCAAATCGTTTGCCAAATCATGGCCTTCTTCGCGCACTTGTCGGCAAACACAAACTTGAATCTTCCCGGCACATCCCCACGCCAACCAGTCGCGATGTAAAACGTTTGACCGAGAAGCTGCTTAAAATCGAGTCTGACGTATGTTTCGTCATCGATCAAAGTGCAGCCCTTGTGTTTCGTCGAAACACGGTCGTATAAGAGCCTTGGGCGCTTATTGGCCACGGAATTCTGCTTCATTTGCCGGTTCGGATGTTTACTGGCTTTGTACGACTTGTTCCCTGGAAAGGATGTTCTGCACCGTTTGACAGTTGGCGTTGTACCTTCTGGCCACATCTCGGATCGAAAGACCGGGGTTGGCTTTAACGCACCTCAACACCTTGCTGCGCAGCTAACGATCCCTGGTTCCAGTTTTTCGTAGGTCCACTCAGGGTTTCCTTGTAGGTTTTGAGCACTCGAAAACTGTTGTTTTCGGCATCTTCAGCTCTTTAGCCAGCTTGGAACCGAACCACTCCGGATTTTCCAGGTGTTTGAGCACATTATTTTCCTCTTCTTTTGAGTTCCATTTGACGTTATTTATGAAAGCGATCGACTACTTTGATCAAAATTGCACAAGTTGTTGTAAACAAACCACTGTCAAAGATTTTTTGCTCCCAAGCTAGCTAGCGGCACGCAAGGGGCGTGTACAAATTTACTTTTAGTTAGCCTTTACTCAGGCTCTGAACAATTTGGGGTTTTAACTTTTGGTTAAAATTTGACGGATGGAAAGCTATCGATTAACCCTGTTATCCAAGCGTGGTTCTTTCTGTCAGACAAGAAGTTAAATTTAGACAACCGTGGTTGAGTTCTTCTCGAAAGTCGGTCAATGTCACTTTCAACCACGAGTCTTCCTCAGCTGTATGATAAATTTCTAAAAACTGCAGTTCTCAGCGCTGAGTTCCTACAGTTTTTAGAAACTTCTCCATACCTCAACTTAGTTGAAAATGAAGACAACCTTAAGCCTGGTACGCAGCTGAAAAGAAACCGGAAAAGTGATTTTTGAGGATTATTCCCAGAAGTAAATGTGACAACAGTAGACCTGTTTTGACTTTTAATCGTCTTTCTCTATCCAGCACACATGGATTAATGGACACGCTATTTCAAAACTACCCAAATTTAGGTATAATCCACCCAGATCGGTCAAAACTGAACCTACCCAAAAATGGGTAAACTATGTTCGGATTGACAAATTGACAAATGGACAAAGTCGATCGGATTCATGTCAATGTTTTCCATTTGTCAACTTGTCAATCCGAACATAGTTTACCCATTTTTGGGCGAGGGGGACGACTCTTTCTACGATGCAGAAAAGATTGTGTTTTGCTGTGGCTAGCTGCACGCACGCTGAGTAGATAGAAGGAAGATTTATACCAATTTTGAAGATTTCCTGCAAAAAGATGAAGCACGATGCAAGTAGATGCGAGAAATGAAAGATGATTTTTCGAAAATTGATTCGCTAGTGTGAGATTTTTTGAGCATCTAGAATTAAGATTTAGATGTGTCGCCCCCCTCGTTTTTGGGTGGATTCTACCCAAATTTGGGAAGTTTTGAAATAGCGTGGACGGTTTATTTTCCAACTAATCTGTTTGCCTCTTTGTCGTACTCGTTCGATTTAAAAGGTGCAGCAGTGTGTGCCAATTAAACGTCAAAAAGCTCTATAGGGAGGAGTGTTTTGCTAAATTTTGAGATCATAGCGAGGTGTCGTCAAATTTTAAAATCAAAATTATTAGTTTCTATGTTGTTAAAATGCATCCAAAACAACAGTTTTGCAACAAACGTCAAAATTACCTAATGCATAATTGGTGAATCAATGCAAAGCCAAATCTTATCATGCGACACCTAGTTTTAAGATCCGCAATTACAAAAATGATGATTTACTAAAAAAAAAATTCATGCGATTTGACAGATATCAAAACGTCATTACCATTTTAACCCACTCGCCATCTGTGAGCCAATCGTCACTTTGATTCTTCAATTGATCAGATCATTATTCCGCAAGTGAAGTAAAATTTCATTCGGAATGCGCCACCTTCAT